AAAAAACCACGCCTGTTCTGCAGGCTATATTTATGTAACCGTATTGTTACGTACCAGGTGGCCTCAACTAAAAGCCCGGTGGTTTCTAGAGCTCACCTCGCCATACATTGAAATATTTATGAATAATTACTATATTAGGTAAAAAGGCAAATAAACAGAATGAATGAACAAGGCCACAGACCAAATACCTTTCAGTTCAATTGGAGGTATAAAACTATTACTGGCGTTCTAAACTAAGCGACCCCCGATCGAGGAAAGGAAAGAGTTTCGCTTTGTCACAGGCGTTATGTAAAGCTTGCAACTCGTGTATATTTCATTGTGCATTTGACCTTCCTTGATCTGAATTCCTTGTCCGAGGATTGACTTAGTCCGCGCGTTTATCGGTATGCGGTTATCGCTACGAAGTACTCTTAAGCGCGTTTCTAACACTTTTTGAAGGCATTTTAACTTTCGAATAGAGTACTCGCTATCGATCACCCTGTTTGTTTATCGAACAATGTAACGAAAACTTGTTGCGCATGTTCCCTGGGGGTACTCTGCAAATCACTGAAACCCTTACCCTATACTAGACCATGATCAGCTTGATTTTGCAACCCTATTCTAGACTAGGCACCAAAAACCCCTACCCTATCCCAGACTCGCTATTTTCCATGCAGAAACTACCATTGCCGTAGCCCAACATACATTAAATAAACCAATATCTTACAACTCACTGCCAAGTTTCAATTTCTATTATAGAACCCCAGATAAAGAACCCTGTTCTACACTAAATTATCTATACACTGGCCACTTTTCCGGTAAATTATACCTCATTCTAGACAAATTGTCGGATTTCTATACCCTATCCCAGACAGCCAGAAAACTAGCTGTTTACTGCAGCCTAGTCAGGGATAATTGTGGCAAAACATTATCTAACAAGCTACAAAAACTACAAAACGAGTAATAACTTCATCGGACGCTGAAGTAGATTCCTTGTTTCACAACTCAACTGCAAAGACTTGCAATCTCAACGTCAAATTCAGAAAGCCGTAATGGTTGTTAAGTCTTTAAACGGTCTGGTTCCCGAATATCTCACTCCTAAATATGTAACGCGCAATGAATCAAATTATGTTCTGAGGGACTCGGTTAACAAACTTGTTGCTCCCTTTCCGAGAACTAACAACATGAAAAATAGTTTTAGTTACAGCGGCGCAACTCTTTGGAACAGCTTACCCTGTAACAGAGTTTGGTTCATTAAATCAATTTAAATGCTTTCTCTGTCATAATTTTTAAACACACGGCATTCATGGAAATCAGGTCAAAAAGTAGAATATTGTTGTACGTTAATATAATATTACGATTAGAATTCTAGGTTTAGGATCTTAGACATTTTATTGGAATTTATTGTACCTGATGAATTTTACCGTGTATAAATGATGATTAAGATTAAAAGCATACCCTTCACAGCGGCACATACCCATATGGCTTATTAATATATATGGAGAACCCCCCCCCTCCCCTCCCCACCATTTCCCCGGACGCATGTTGCACGTCGTAGAAAAGAAAGCAAGCTATGAGCAAGCAGTTGACAAGGGTCCCTCTGCTCCAGTCTCTGCTCCACAGCAATGAGTTGCTGACGTCACTGACGCTCATGACTCAGGGTAAGCTCCCACAGTACTAGAAAAAAGGAAAACAACACGGATTGTTCATTGAATTATTGTCGTAAAAATAATTGAAAATTGGTCCATGCTTAGCGTGCGTGTATCGAGTGATGGATGCACGCGAAAAGTTTGTAGAGCACAAGAGAAGCGTAAGAGTTTCTCGAGGCGCAGCCGAGAGCAACTCTAGCTTCTTGAGTACTTTACAAATTCCCAAGTGCATTCATAACTCAATATACGCACAGCTAAAAACATTAACTAGTTCTTTCATAACAAGCGATAATAACTTGGGCGCTAAAACATGTTTTATTTGCGATTGACTACAAAGTTTGCACAATGCACGGTGAAGGAAAACAGCGGATCCTATTGCCTGGTTAACAACACACCACAATCAGTTGGGCAACAGTTCAACGAAAACGCTTCATCTGGTTTCCAAAATTGCCAATAAAAAACTCGCTTCTTCGAATTAATTATAATGAAAATGTACACAAACAGAGTCATAATACTCAAGTTCTAATACCATCTTAGCTTGACAAAAGTCAAAGGCTCTAAGTAGCGTTTGGATTGTTCAGAATGATTCTTGCAGTAACTGTCTAGTTTCTCGCGCGCGGATTGTCTCATTTTTATCATCAATAAGAGTACAGACGGATAAAATTTTAATTTATGCAAGCTTTCAAGTTCAATTTTCAGCTGTCAAACTGTCAACTTTTTGACCAATGAGACTTCATGGCCTTTTTTAAGCAGCCAATGAAAAAGCGAGAATTGATATTGACAATGTTCGCGTCATTTTGAATAAAGCTCACGTATCTTTGTTTACGGCAAGTTTACGGCGTCTTTTCCCCTCATTTATTCCCGGCATTTGACCATTTTGGGGTCTTGTTATTGTAAAAAACAAATTGACGTCAGTTTTTTATGCGTCTGTCCTCTTATTGATGATAAATTTCGTCACAACATAGTCAAAGCTTATCGTGGAACCACTCACCTACGGCTCGTGGTTCCACAGCCACTTTGACAATGTTATGAAGCAATTTATCATTAGTAAGAGGACAGACGCATAAAAAACTGACGTCAAAGCTTATCGTGGAACCACTCACCTGCGGCTCGTGGTTCCACAGCTACTTTGACAATGTTATGAAGCAATTTATCATTAGTAAGAGGACAGACGCATAGAAAACTGACGACAATTTGTTAAGTTCACATTGCCAAAACTTAAACAAAAGGACCTTGCACTTAATTCGACAGAAACTTTGCTGCTAAAATAAAACTGCACACGTCATGTTATACATACACAGGGCCGTGCGTATTTATATAATAACCCAAGTTATTCTCGCATTTTGATTGGTTCTCGCCCATGATCTATTAGAGGACAGACGAACGATTGACGTCATCATTACAAAGTTTTCCCCTCTGTGTTTTAAAATGGCGGAACGCTTTGAGAATTTAGATAATGTTTTACATGACTGGGCAAAAGATAAGGTACAAAAAAAGTCTCATCGGTGCGTCTGTTCAGTAATAGATCACAGAAGACGTCAAAATGTGGTAAGAACATCAGTGACACACTCGGCTATCGTCTCGTGTGCCACTTTTTTGT